AGCAAAAGAAATAAGTGAAGTCATGTTCTTACTCCAGTGACGGGTAAGGCAGAGCTCTCCTGAGTGCAAATGAAGGCGAGCACGACGGCCACTGCAACTGCAACACTGAATGTCTTCATCTTAGGAGGGTTGAAGTGGTTTAGTTGGTAAGCAGATATATTTTTCAGATCTCTTGGTGCCTCTTGTCAGGTCTGCTGACTTCTGTCTTATGGTTGAGTGTAAAAAGTGCTGGTATTTATACTCAGTCGGGCCATTGTTGCCTCATCACTGGCAGAACACACCTGCTTCCAGTAATGGGCTTTACATCACACCTGCCTAATGCTGGCAGTGGAAATGGGACTTTTTCTGCTTTTGACCTTTGGTCACATTGTTTGCTCCACAACAAGTCAACAATGAACTTTTGAATTAAACTATATGTATTGTACTTTTACTTAAACAAGAAACAGAGCAGAAGTGTTAGAGCCTGTAAAACTTCACAGGTCCAGCTTATTCATGGATGACTGGGCTGCTTTTTTTGACCTATGTAGAAAACTCTCTGCTGAATGGGAATCCATGTTGAATATCTGCTCAGTGTAAAGGATGCAATTACAAGCAATCAAATAGAATAATTTTCAACAATTTCAGTTTTGGCATAATACACAGGAACCTGCAGTTCAAGCAAATGAATCCTCTTGAGAGCAGCAGAAACGTAGACAAGAGTTAAAGTCCTTTTCCCTGTGTAATAATTTGTCCATTATTGATAATGTATGACCTTGACATAAAATGTAACATTAGTAGTGTGGCAAAAATACAGTCATACAACCTATTTTACTTGGTCCATACACCAGGCATCTTACTGGCATATACTGAATAATTAAGACATGTGTTAAAGACCTTAGTCATGTCTATTGCAACAACTGAAATCCCTTATTTACCCCTCATCAATATTTGCTAACCCTGCTGGCCCATGTGCTGGCTTCAGGTGACCACGTCAGTGTCAACTAACACAAATGACTCCCAATCTGTTGGAATCAGCCAATATTTTGAAAAGAAAAGGTGTCATTACCTAATCTTTCAACCACTTTTTCATCTTGCACACTATCTCCAGTCACAATGAACACGTCATTTCACTTTGACCTTTAATATCCACTGAAAAACCTGGGAAACAAATATGACACATAATATTAGTTTCCTTAAACATAATTACATGTTGATGTAAATCTGTAAAGCCTACACTCACTGTTTTTGCCAGACAATTAATGTGAAAATGAACAAACCATAAAACACAGTATATTTGATTGCAGTAGTATTTCTTGATGCTAAATAAAACACAAGATGGTGTTCATACAGGCTGTCGTGTGCTGTTGATGGTCAGAGGCCATAATCGATTCTCATCTTTGTCTTTACACACTGTTTCGTTCATGGCTTAGGTCTGAGGAAAGATGTAAAGATCAAGGGGCACCAGTACCTCAGGCAGCCCAGGTAGATTACCCATGATACCTAGGGTTGTGGTGTGAGAAGTGCTGGGAACATGGGGGTTGCTTTACATGGTGGGTTTGGTAGCATTTAGGCGCTAGACCCAGGTAGAGAGGTATTTTGATCGGCCTGAAGAGGTGACTCTGACCGTTGTGCTTGTGCCAGCAGTAGCTTTATTTTGGCCAGAATATTGGTTGCTGTTAATGAGACAAACATTCAGGAACACACAGGCCAAAACAGGTAAGCTTGGAAAATCCAAGCCTGCACTGCAAATATTTTTAAGCTCTTTTTTTTCAATCATTAATGAAACATCGTGGATGTGACCAGGGTTTCGTCACACACCTAAAGCTTCACTGGCGGCAAATAAGCACAGCGAGGTCTTAACAAATGATGAAGTGATGAGTTTTGGTTATTGCAACAGACAAGACTGAAGTCTGTGAAATGTGTCTCTGAATTTACCAGAAAGATGCTCAGAGTACAGATAAAATTGGACATTTGATCTGTATTTCTGCTACACTACTACTGTTATATTTTATGTCAACTACATTAAATCATAATCAATAATGGACAAAGTATTGCACAGCAAAAACAGCTCTTGTCTTATTTTCTGTTGCTCTCAGAGGATTCATTTGGTTGAACTGCAGGTTCCTGTGTAATATGCATAAAGTGAAATTGTTGAAAATTGTTCTATTTGATAACTTGTAATTGCATCCTTTACACTGAGCAGATATTCAACGTGGACTCCTATTCGGCAGAGTTTTCTTCATAGGTAAAAAAAAAAAAAAAGCAGCTCAGTCATCCATGAATAAGCTGGACCTGTGAAGTTTTACAGTCTCTAACACTTGTGCTCTGTTTCTTGTTTAGGTAAAAGTACAATACATGTAGTTTAATTCAAAAGTTCATTGTTGACTTGTTGTTGTGGAGCAAACGATGTGACCAAAGGTCAAAAGCAGAAAAAGTCCCATTTCCACTGCCAGCACTAGGCAGGTGTGATGTAAAGCCCATTACTGGAAGCAGGTGTGTTCTGCCCGTGATGAGGCAACAATGGCCCGACTGAGTATAAATACCAGCACTTTTTACACTCAACCATCAGACAGAAGTCAGCAGACCTGACAAGAGGCACCAAGAGATCTGAAAAATATATCTGCTTACCAACTAAACCACTTCAACCCTCCTAAGATGAAGACATTCAGTGTTGCAGTTGCAGTGGCCGTCGTGCTCGCCTTCATTTGCACTCAGGAGAGCTCTGCCTTACCCGTCACTGGAGTAAGAACATGACTTCACTTATTTCTTTTGCT